CCCCTGCCCCGCTCCCCGAGCCCCCCCCCCCCTGCGGCTTTGCAAAGCCGCGGAGAAGCCGGCAGCGGGGCAACCCAGGCGCGCCTGGGCTGCCCCGCTGCCCGAGCCCCTCCACGGCTTTGCTCCGCGTCTTCCTGGTCTGCAGACCAGGGAGACGCGGAGCAGCTTTTCTCGCCCCACAGTCCATGTCCTCTGGGGCGAGAAAAGCCCCGTTCGTAACTGCGGATCCGACATAAATCGGATCCGCGTAAGTCGGGGACTGCCTGTATTAACTCTGTCCCTAAAATTTGACCACATATTCTTCACTGTAACTATGAAGAAGGAAAAAAAAGTATTTTCTTTTCCGAATTATCTTTTCCCACGGTGTCAAGTCTTTATTTGCTCCCAAGAAAAAACCCACATAGAATCTGAGCTTAAAATAAGTATAGTTAATTAGTTAATAGTATCACAAAAATGTAGAGCTTGAAGGGACCTTGAGAGGTTCTCTTGTCTAGCCCCATACACTGATGCAAGACTAAGTATACCATCCCCAGCAAGTCTTTTCTAACTTGTTCTTAGGCCTTGTCTTCACTTACTATGGGGATCAGTCTTCTGGGGGCGAATTTAGTGGGTCATGCACTGATCGTGCTCCCATCAACTCTGGCACTCTATCGGAGCAAGAAGGAGAGAAATCAACAGTAGAGTTTCTCTCATTGATCTCCCACAGTGGGGATGCTGCAGTAGCTTGAACTAAAATACGTCAACTCTAGCTTAGCTGTTCCTGTATCTGGAGTTGTGTGCCTTAGTTCGACTTTGCCCCCTAGTGTAGACCTGGCCGTAGAAACTTCAGATTATAGGAATTCCACAGGCTTCCTTGGAACCTTATTCCAGAACTAAACTACCCTTATAGTTGCAAAGTTTTTCTTAATATCCAATCTAAATCTCCCCTGCTGCAGCTTAAGCCCATTACTGTCTTTGGTGCCCATGTGATCTGATCTCTAGTCACATCTCTTATGAAGTGAATTGTCTTTCCCCACCTTGATAATTGACCAGTGTCCTTTTCATAACAGCCCTTAATATATTTGAAGACTAATATAATGTCTCCCTTCAATCTCTTTTCCGATGATGAAATATGCCCAGTTATTTTTAACCTTTCCTCATAGCTCAGGCTTTGTAAAACTTTTATCACTTTTTCTGCTCTTCTGCCTAGTCTCTCCAGTTTGTCCACATTTTTCCTAAAGTGTGAGGCTACACCAGTGCTGTTTAGAGCACCTTGAAAGCATCTGGAAGATGAAAAAGTGCTATATATCTTATAATGTATTAAAGCACTTACATGGGCTTATATTCAAAAAGGTTTTGAGATCAAACCACACATCATCCAAAGTATATTTTGTTTAAACAGCGCTAGTTTAAATTACTTCCTGAAGGAGATCTTGTAATATACATTATGCAAGTAAATCACATTAAATGTTTTCCTAGTACCTCGTCCTGCTCAGACAGGTTTCTAGTTTCTTTCAGAGTGGGTCTTACATGGATTGCAGTATTGTGCAGGGAGACCTTTGTCTTATATTTTCCAGCAGTGCCATGCTAGTCGTTCCTCATGTTAAAATCACAGACTGAAACAGCATGAATTCTTTCATTTCTGAAGAACTAAGAACCAGAGAGTATATAGTAATTTTATTTAATTTCTATTTAAGACATTTCTGTTACTGCTGGAAAATTGTTAACATTTTTTACCTCAACAAACAGCAAGTGGACAGGATCTCTTCTAGAGTTTGGAGAAATTTACATGCTTTTTGGCAAGACACTGTTACCTTTGAGCAATATAACTATGGTGTAGATTGACTGCTTTCCAAAGGCTGGAATCACATACGTAATGTTTTTATTTTTCAATAATATTCAGACCCCAGAATAAATACCATATGTTAGCTAAAGTGCTTAAATGGAACACTGTCATTCTTCATTGAGAACATTTTCTTGTTTATTATAATTTAAAACAAATACATTGAAAATACAGTGTAGAATGTAACCACAATGATTTTCAATGTATATTGTGGTACAGAGCAATCATTCATTCTTAATACAATACCTCATTGCCCTGTGTGAGATACAGCATGGAGCACTGCGCTCTGTGTGTGTGTTCTGTATGGTATATCTACAGCATGTATTACTTATAGGACATCTGTTGAGGAAAAATTGCTTCAGTGAGTGATGTTCATATGAATAGTGAGAATAACATGTTGATGACATCTTAACTGGGGGACTAACATATAGGATAATAGAAAAGGATGGATTGATTGCAAAACTATAATTCAGTTAAGGTTGTGATGGTTCCATAAATCACAGAGTATGACTCAGGTGGTCTATGACATCATCATAATACAGATTTAGCAATCAATTTACCTCCCTCTCTGTTATTATTTTAGATTTAAATGTTACATATATTTAAAAAAATACAAAAGATAAAGTATTATTTAATCTGGCCTAAATATGCATGCTGGAAACCTTGTTTGATCTGCTATATTTAAAAAGCATGCCTTACTGGAACCTGGTTTTAATAATTTGCTATTAAGATGAGATTGCAGAATGAACAAATACAACCTAAATTATTGTGTTGGCAGCATGGAGCTATCTTCTTACAGGCAGAATGTTTTTGTTACATGTATTCTTTGCTAGTGTACCTTGAGTAGTTCATTGGGGCACCATACTACTATCTTCCTCCATGCAAAACTCCCACCAAAAGTAAGTGGAAATTTTGGGTGGTAAGAAAAATGCTCAAGTAGGCTCTGACTAGTAACACTGTTTGAGGTTCTCTCTATACATTAAGTAGAGCTGCTGTACCATGACTACTCTTTTTTTCATCCCAAAATCTCAAAAGTCTTGGAAACTCTAACAATACTATGTCAAAGTTTTCAAACTTAGATATCTACATTTAGGTACCTGACACCTTGCTCCTGCAAAAAAGGTGGCTGACTTGACTCCTGTAAAGTGGTCCCACTGACTCCAATGAGACCGCTGATTCAGTAAAAATTAAATATGTTGATAGTATTTGATGGATTGAGTGTTAAATGCATATTTAGAGACTTAAATAAGTGTTTTGTATCCTGATAGTAGACTTCCAAGTATAAACATTTTGCATTTAGTGTCTAGGATTTTTTTTTTTTTTTTTTTTTGCTTTTCAACATTGTTAATAAAAGTGCTCTACCAAATATGTCATATAAACACTGCACTCACAATAAGCTTTCCAATGTGTTATTTTTGTTCTTTTCAGCTTTCAGAATGATCCCCTATCCTTTGGAAAAAGGGCACCTTTTTTACCCATACCCCATCTGTACAGAAACAGCAGACAGAGAACTACTTCCATGTACGTCTGAACTTTTTCTCTTTTTTTATCCCTGGTTCTTGGCATCAAAGGATCGTTGATCACAGTTCTGCAAAACTGGCCTCCACTGATGCCTGTTGAGTTTATTGGACTAGAATGACTGATTGACAGTGAATCTTGAGAGTTCAATTAATTGTTAAAATGAAAATTCATAGACACAGCTCATTCAGTTTTAGATATCTTTATTGATGTAAAAAAACCAGATTACTTTGGGAATGTACTTCTTTTAAAAATCTATTATTTCTTTCTTGCCAAGGCAGGTAAAGTATGTCTGATCCTTTATGTAGGATATTATACCATCAAACTAAATAGACAGTTGTCCTGCCCTGTAGTCCTAATGCAGGAAATTCACTCTAAATTCAAGACAGTTTTGCCTTCACAAATTACAGAATTGAGCCTGCATGAGGACCATTAACCAAGTACCAAGTTATTGTGAGGTCATGTAAAAGGGCTGTTGTAAGAGCTATTTCAAGACACGAGCTGCAAAGAGGGTTTTCTTCATATGAAGATAGATTTGATTCTTATAAAGATATCAGTGTGAAAGTACATCAGTCATTTATTACTATGAATTTGTAAAAAAACAAGAGTGTTCTAAATGCTGTGCAAGATACCGATATAAAGATAACTCCTGCCCATGGAAAGTTTTACAATCTAAGTCAATAGGCCGTGAATCAAGTTAAACACTAATCACTCTTTGCAGTATCAGGCCGAATGACCTGTCCTGGAACTATCCCACACTGTTTCCTGTTGAAGGAAATGGGAGTTGGTTGGATCACACAGATGTTCTCAGGTTCTGAAAGGTAGACAGACATAAGATGCACAAGAGGATTGAAAAAAGGAGCAAATTTAAATTGTTTTTCATTTGTATTTGTGACTCTCCTAAAATAGGTCTTTCATTTCTAACAACTTCAGTTTAGGCTAAGTTATGTTTAAACATTCTTAATAAGTCTACCTCGGTAAACTGGAGGTAGAAGTAATAGCAAGAATCCCCTTGTTGTCAGGCCCTTCTTTCACAGCACATTCACTCTGAAATTGCACAGTAATCCTTGGCAACCAGCTTTCTCCCTCCACCCCTTTATAATCCTCCTAATTATAACAATACCTCTCAGGACTCTCAGAAATCTTTACTCCAAGGGATACTGTTAAATGGAGGGTGGAGTGTCAGGGAAATTTGGGAATGAAGAAATGACACAGAATAGTCAACATTCTCCTTTCTAGGTGCAAAACTAATTGCTGTTGTCAGATGTTAGAAGCAAGGGACTCTTTAACACTGTACATTGATGGTAATGTTTTGCTCTGATAATTGTGAGAAATGCCTTTTGCTGTCAAATCTCTTGGGTTTGAGAAGAGGCGTTTTAATATACTGTGAGAGGCACAGGTTGTGTAGAGGTCCTTTATACCACATGCCTTTCTGAACCTTTAATTGCTTATATTATAAAGTGGCACCTTAGAGACTAACAAATATAATATCAGGAGCTTTTGTGGGTAAAAGCCACTTCATCAGATGAGCACTCTTTTGATGAGGTGGATTTTAACCACGTAAGCTCATGATATAATGTATGTGTTAGTCTCTAAGATGCCACAGGAGTGCTTATTGTTTTTAAAGTTACAGACTCACACAGCTACCCCTCTGAGACTTATATTTTAAAGATAATTTTCGGCAGGTAATTTGAAGAGAGGGTCTCTGCTGAAATCAGAACTTTACGGTTTGCATGAGGAATAGTTTTCTTCAAAAGAAAGGGAGAGTGGAAAGAATAACCTCAGCTAAATAAAAATATCATCCACACCTGATGTTAGTTTTAACTGGCTAAAGAATTACAACAACAGATCGGATATTTCAGTCAAAGGCTTCATAAGAATGCTTGTATACAGGCAGTCCCCGGGTTACGTACAAGATAGGGACTGTAGGTTTGTTCTTAAGTTGAATCTATATGTAAGTCGGAACTGGCGTCCAGATTCAGCCGCTGCTGAAACTGACCAGCAGCTGACT